TAACAAAATCAAAACGTTCCTCATAAACTGTTCTTGCAAGCAGGCCATTGTAATAGAAGCAATAATCTGATTGGTCAGAAATAAACCAATCACATCAAATGTTACAAAGTGAAAGATGCCTTTTCACGCGCTTTTTGATGCGCTCATGTCATGTCCCTTCCCTATCAATTCTCCAGATTTGAATATCTCGGGGGTTGACAGCCCTGAACCTGCCAAGTAGCTTTTGGTGTCCTGGGATTAATGACTGTTAAAAGAGACATTGAGGTGGATGAGAAAAAACAGATGATAGTTGCCTAAAATGTTTTGAGTAATTTGCAGATGAAAATAACAATATTGAAGAACTTACAGTAAATACAAACTATATCAAAGAAAATTGATTCAAAGTAGTTATTATTATAAATTTATAAAAGGTTCTGGTCTAATCATTGAACAATACCAGTTTTTTTTAACAAACATTATCTTTCCAGCTTCTGGGGATATCAGAAGTCACTGGACCAAGGGGAGACAACATGTGCATAGAGGCTATTAAGAAATTAAAGGTAATATCAATATTAACCCCAATATCAGTTTATTAAACATTTAAGTAGGTGCCAGTTATGTTTAGTTTTTAGCATTGACTAGTTACTGAAAAGATAATAATAATAATGATAAATAATTATTGTTATTATTGGCATTCTTGTAATGGCAGCACCATATCAAGCAGACAGGTGAACACAAGCAAAAGATCATTCTCAATGTAACGCTCAGAGGGATCCGTATTATTGATGAAAAGTCCAAGGTATGTCATAAATATGAACCATTTTTATTATGACGATGTTAGGCTCTTGCGTAATAAGGGGTTTCATTTCCTTACAAGCATGGATAAGCAGGGTTTTGAAAAGGGGCACTGGTGACCAATAAAATTATGCATTTAATCAAAACGACAACGTTTCTGTTCTTTTGCCATACGACATGGCTGTCATGAAACCACTCTATTGACACTCCCATCATTAGCGGATCAAAGGGGTGGTAACGGGATTCCCATGACTCCCATACCCCCTTAAAAGGAATTCATCCTTGCTTATGTATAATGCCTAATTTCATTTCATTTGAAATAATTGCCTAATTTACATAAAATGTTTCTCAATGCTTAACATTTAGTTCCCTCCCCCTCCCCCTCCCCCTCCCCCTCCCCTCCATCTCCCCCTATTTCAAAATCCTGGATCCACCCTTGATAATGTTGATAAATATGAATCATATTTATATTTCAGAATATAGTTTTTGAACACCCTGTCAACAAGATTTCATTTATCACTCATGATACTGATGACAAGAAGATCTTTGGTTACATTTGTAGTGCACGCTGCAAGACAGGTCACATGATGTATGCAATTAAGTATGACAAAGTGGTACGTCTCAGAACAAAACATATTTGACCAAACAGCAAGCTAAAACTTTTAGAAAACTGGGTTGCCTGTATCATGACAATGGCCTAGTATAGCTGAAGAAGTTTGCATTGTTAACCAAAAGATAATGGAATGTTTTACAGAAAAGAACCATCTCCTTTAAATTCCCCCCCCCCCCCCCCTTAAGGTGTACCTCACCGTAGTTCTAAGAGAGTTGCAATACTTATCAGCTTGACCTTGCCATGACGTGACAAGATCAAATCACTGTCTTGAAACTGTAGTCGGCTGAAGAAGTGAATGTTTTCACTCAGAAAATATTCATTTAATCTACAAAATAAGCCAAGGTTTTCTACGAATTCCATTAGAATTATCATTCAGCTTGTCTTAATTCGGTTCTGTAAATCACTGATTGTTTCTGGAAACAAAATATCCAGTCATTATGGAGACAATGTTCTTGTGTCTCATGTCAATCAAAGGCTAACAAGATCAGTAGAGAAGTAGAGAAATGAAGCATAATTGCTTTCCTCTGGCTATCATGATGACTTGACTTAACGATCAATGAGGTTGCATCCAGGGTCTTGCATTTTGTCACAATGCAGACAGAGAAACGGAACACATTTTAAGGCTGGTTTTCCACAGGCAACCCAGTAAACACTAGTTGTTTAGAGTAGCCGTACTATCAAAAAGGGAAGTTGTTGGTGGTTGTGTGGGGGGAGTGTTATCCTCTATAAACAAAAAGTTAATTAATTATCTTCTATCTTCTATAATTCATCTATATATTAATAATCTACTATCTTCTTTTAGGCTGGCGTAATAACTGCAACTCTATATGAGCTCTTCCAAGCTGTATTCAAATTAAGACAAGATGCAGTTAACCAGAAAAAAGAACAAGCCAACAATCAATCAAATGCTAAAGCAAACAATGTTGCTGTTCCTAATGGTAAAATATAATCCATGCTCCTTACATTTGCCGTCACCTTGTTATTGAACAACCCATCCATGAGATTGCAAATAAGAAGGGAAAATGCTAAAAAAAATCAAAATTATATTGTTAGTTTGGACATTAGTCTTTCATTGGAGTAAAAGGGGAGTGATTGTAAAGCCCATACAGATCAGCTGCTCATATTGTACATTACTTATCAAACGTCTAGGTTAGTTCTTTTGAGTTCTGCTAAAATTTTCAAGATAAGAGTGAATCTAACAAAGAAAATCCAATTTAAAGTAAATGCCAATCAGGATGATTCTGTTTCCGAATTTACTCCTCCATGGTCATGATTTTTATTGTTTCCTTATGAATTATTAATGAGTTTAATAAATAAATTTATCATATGACCCATATCTGCCCGGGCACACGCTCTTAAAAAACCCTTCCGGAAAATGGCATGAACAAGGCCATACAAATCTGCATGGCCCTGTTCAAAACCTGCGACTGTATTTTCTTTCTTTTCTTTCATTATTTTTCTTTTCATGAGGGTCATATGATAAAATGCTTATTGACTGAGTTACGTCAGGCCATACAGGAAAATATTTGGCTCTCAATCATTTCGCTCGGTCCGTACGGCATCACCTTAAGCCAAATATAGTACATAGTACTATACTGGCGTTTTGGATATTAGTCATTTATAATTTAAAATGTGAGATCATGATGTCATAATGTTTTAAATTGTTCCTTTTATTGCTTACTCGGATTTTAGATGGCAGACTAATTTGTTGTTGGGTTTTATGTCGTTTAATTTCAACATTTTTTTTTTTCTGTGACAACATAGGTCAAAGTACAGCCAGTCCTGTGGATGAAAATATCATTTATGAGGTAAAGTATCCTAACCAAACTTGAGAAAAAAGTAATTACTGGCCATGAGGTAGGAAAAACTATAAAAGATACGGACCAAGTCCATAAGGCTGAGGGCACAATTTTTCCTCAATTAATCCTGACCAACTTTAAGATGGTTATAGATTTACTTTGCTTTGTGCTTCCTTGATAACCAAAAAATATCTATTGCTTGGTTATGTTTGCTTTTCACCACTCTCGATCTGGGCCTGAAAGGTTCCAAGGGTCACTGGGTCACTTTAGTAATAATAAAGAATATGACCCCCAAAATAATCAGTGTCAGTAGGTTCAGGGCCGGAGCCACAAATTTCTGATTGGTCTGGTTTTCCATTTTTCTTATATTTTTTTATTATTTTTCTTATATTTTTTCCCTCAAAGTTGGTCCGGTTGAAACTGGACCAACTGTACCAGTGGCTATGGCCCTGAGGTTATGGGGTTATTGGCCAACGGCTCACCATTAATCTACATATAACCTACTGATAACCTACCATTGCCTTACTATATCTGCCTGAAAACCACTGACAGACTGTCACTTTGCAGAACAAACCACATATAGGCAGTGATAATGTAGTTGCATAATGTTCCCTCTCTTGACACTGTAATACTCTTCCTTCTAAAACAATAAATGTGTGATCTCAAATTACACCATTAACCTACTGATATCTGCCTGAAAACCACTGACAGACTGTCACTTTTTGCAAACCACACACAAAAGTACAGTATGGCCGGTGATAATGTATTCACATTATGTTTCCTCTCTTAACACTGTAATATTCTTCCTGCTAAAAAGATCAGTGTATGATCTCAAAGTTGATTGAATTAGAATATATTGTCTGAAATATTATTATTATTGTTATCATTATTATTATTATTAATATTATTATTATTGTTGTTAAATTATGTTGTTCTTGTTTCAAGGAACCAAAAGCAATGCCAAGTCCAGTGAAAATGCAGTCAGAAAATAATACTTCTGATGCTGGACATTATAAGGTAAAAGAACTATATTCTTTATCTTCCCTAGTTACAAACCTAATGCCTTTCTCTCACTTAGAGTAGCATTAGACGTTATATAAAGGTAAATTATACACAGTGAAAAGATGAAAAAATGTCAGTAATCTTTTCATGGTTATAATTTACCTTTTTATCATTGCTGTTTCATTAGAAACACCGACGCAGCTCACTCTAGTTCTTAGCTAGTTATCTCCTCTTCATTGTACATCATAATTCATTTCCGAACTAATGGAGTATATATGTTTTGTTAGGTGCCTCCATCACGTCCTCTTCCACCAGCTCCATATGCGTCATCCACCTCTCATGACAGCCCTAAGACTGGTCATCTTGACTTCAAGGTATATTATGGTGTCAATTTGACATCTTCCTTTCTTGTTTAAGATCGAAATTCCCTATTTATATTTCTTAAAGTATTTTGAAAAACTTGAAAAAATGTCTTTCACCATGCAATGGACTTTTTTGCCTTTTGAGGTTTTCCGGTTTTCCCTTGTAACTGAACTCATTCCTTCATACTTTATTTCACCTTACCCTATCATACCTCATCTCATCTCACCTCATCACACCTCTCACCTTACCCCAACCTTGCCTTTTATCTCACTTCATTTCATCTCATCACACCACACCATTCCACCTAGCTCACCTCACCCCACTACACCACACCTACCTTTACCCCAACCCAGCTCACCTTATATCACTTCAATTCACCTCAACCCACACCATCTCACGCCATCCCAACTCACCTCACATTACCACACCTTACCCCAACCCACCACAACCTATTTCACCTCATCTCACCTTAATTCACTTCTCCCCGCACCATACTTCCTTGTCTCAACTAACCTCAAAAATCCAACTCACCTGACATCAATTCACCTATACTCATACCACACCACACTGCCTCAACTCACCTCACCCCACCCACCTTACCCCAACCCAGCTCTCCTCAATTCACCTATCGCAACACCACACTGCCTCAACTCAACTCACCTCACCTCGACTGGACTCGACTGGACTCAACTCAACTCACCTCACCTCACCCCACCCCACCCCACCCCACCCCACCCCACCCCACCCCAACCCAGCTCAGACTATCTAACTGCAATTCACCTCTCCCCATACAACACCACCCTGCCTCAACAATCCACAACGCACCACACCTTACACCAACCCACCTCACCTTATCTCATCTCAATATTCAACTCACCTTACCCCACCACACAATACTTCACCTTGTCACCTGGATTCACCTTTTCCAATAAACAATAAATTGGTGCTTTATTCCTTTCTTTATTTGTATATTTTTACTGATAGATACATTTTTAATCAATATTTATTACTTCAAGACAATAATCAAATAAAAGCAAAGTAGCTTGCTTGACATTATTTCTACATTTGTATATGTCCAATGAAAGTATGAAATGGTGTACATGCACATCATTGATCTAACGTTATTGTTCTTTTACTAATATTTAGAAAAATCAACCACAAACTGCAGATTCATCAGCCACAAGTTTTATATCAGAATCTTTCTTTGGCGCGTCTGTATTCACCCAATCTGACTCTGCTTCTGACTCTGTTTCCCTGTCATCAGTTGATATCCCTAGAAAAGAATCAGTGTCGTCATCATCATCTGAAGCTACATCCTTTGACACTAGAAGCTTAGATCTAAAAGCAGGCCATTCTGTCTCAACACCACCAACTGGGCGTGGAGGGTTTACAAGCCCAGAAGGGGCTGTCAGTCATGCAAGCCCAGAAACAGGAACCATTCTTGAAGAAGATCCTAACTATGAAACTATACCATCTACAAATTATGAAACCATTCCAAGTATACCTAGAAATGAGACAAAAGATGCTGCTAAAGCGGAATTCAAGGGGTTTAGTTTTAAGGAATCATGCTCTACTGTAGAGCCGTTTCCTCGGAGTGATAGCTTGAATGATCCAACAGTATCCAAAAACTCGGCAGTCCAAGAGAAACAGCTTTCAGCAGGAGCTTTTGGTGATGATGACTTGTTCAAATGCTTTGGAGACAATACTTTTGATGAAATGGCATTAGCAAACTCCAACAATAATTTTCCAATAAATGACCCTTTTGCACCTACGACAGTAACAACAACACAGGAATCCCAATCACAGGCTGCTGATGCTTTCTCTGGTGATCCATTTGAAGCAGCATTTGGACCAGGACAGATGTCTCCTGTGCCTTTTGGGCCAAGTAAACAGCCAGATATTGTCGATTCTAGTGTAGGGGATAGCTCTGGAGACATGTTCCAAGAGCCAGCAATGGATAAATCCTGTGATCATTTTGAGGCAGCTTTTGGTTCGGCTGAAATTTCTTCCCCTCCTTTTAAGACAGAAAATATTGAAAAGAAAGAAGAAAAAGATTTGGGTGACACAGAATGGGTTAGTACTTTTGACAATGGAAAAAATGGCATTGATGTAGAAGACAAGAAATCTGAGAAGAGCAAAGAATCCAAAGTGGAATTTCAATGGGGCTTTGATAGTGTGGATGAAAAAGAGCCACATTTGACTTCAACAACAGATGTCAAGAATGAAGTCACCTGGAGTACAGCTTTTGATGATAAAAAACCCCATGGTGAAGTAAGTTTTTCCTGGGACGATGCTTTTGGGGCACCTGTTGATTCAAACGATGGAGAAACTAAAAATTATTTTGAAGGGGTCTCTTTCGGAGATGCTTTTGCATCAACTCCATTTACTAAGGAGTCTAGTTCCAAAAATGAACCCTTCTTTCCTGAAGATTCTTTCAGTAATTTTGGAACTGTTGCAATAAAACCAGATGATCAGGAGCCACAAAAGTCACAAGTCGTAGATTCAAAAGATGAGGTATCCGAGAAAGACACTAAAGAGCATAATAAAGAAAGTGATTCTGAAGAAACTCAGTCACAAGATACCAACAATAAAGAAAATGAAAACAAACCGTCCCTTGCAGATGATGAAGGTTTATCAAGTTCATCTGATAAAGAAAATGACAGTGAAAGTGACAAAGTGACCATACCAAAAGTAGTTGAACCAGTCAGTGAAGACCAAGTTGATGATACAACATCCGAGGAGTTGACCAGGCCAACCTCAATACCATTTCACCCAACAAAACCCAAACAACATGAAGTCACTTCTCCAAATGCACCGCCACCCCTACCCCCAAGATTCAAGGCAGCACTTCCAGTACTCCCACCCCGCCCAAGAACCTCTTCGAGTCCATTGTCTAGTCAAATTCCACCAACACCTCCAAGACCTGCAGGGTTGTCGGGGAGAGATTCCCCTGTCTCAAAAGGCAAGCGCCTGCCTCCTGCTTTACCTCCGAGAATCGACTTGGAAATGGAAAAGACTCAAACACATGTAAACCCCCCTGTTCCACTTAGTATTACAGGGTTTAATCCTGATGCTTTTAGCTCCCCAAAAAATGAGGGGACTTCAAGTTCTTGGCAAGCAAATTGGGAAAATGAAACTTCTAAAGAAAACAAAGATAAAGATAACGTAACTAACTCTAAGACTTCGCCAGATCCGTTTGGTGATGACTTTTTTACAGACTTTAATCTTAGTGCCGCAAAGGATACAAGTAGCAAACCTAACGAAGCTACTCTGAACAATCAGGATTTTTTCGCTGACCCTTTTTTAGCAAAAGAGAGCAAGAATGACTTGTTTGTAGCAGATTTTGGAGGAGAAGACCCTTTTGCTGATTTCTCCTCAAACAATGAAGGAAAAAAGATTGACCTGTTCAAGTCAGATGAAGGTAGTGTGTTCTCCCAGTTCTCCACCATTAAAGATCCTTTTAGTGATGATAATGATCCATTTGCTGAGAAAATGTCTGTTAATGATGACCCTTTTGGCTCAAACATCAAGAAAGACGAACCAGAAAGCATGTCTTTCCATTTAAAGGTAAGGAATATTTTGTTATCAGTAATGCTTACATGTATTTTTTTCTAAATAATTAAAATATATATATATTATAAGAAAATGCAGCAGTGTTTTTTGTTATCTGTTTGCATAATCATTAAACCCAAAGAAATTTTGGATGGAAAAAAATAAAAACACATGCCTATACTATTGGCTGTAATTACAGTCAAACTAAAAAACTGTAAAAAACTCCTAAAATATGTCTGGAATGGTAATTATTGTGTTCTGACCAATCGTATGTGAGAATGATTTCATTTTCTAATTATAACTGTTGCATGTGATTGGTCAGAATATGAAGTTTAACATTCCAAACATATTTTAAGTGTTCACAGTTTTCTAAGTTTGACATTAATGTAACATAGTTTGAGGTAAAGATACAAGTGACTAGGTAACTCCTGTCTTGTCAAGGAAGGTAATTTCAAATACCATTATTATCCGATAATCTCTCTTCTACATTAACAACATATTAAACCAATCATAGCAGGCAAAATTATTGCTCAATTGCAGCGTTCTGTACCGTAATCACGAGATCTGCTTTGATGTCACATATGACCTTTGTTGTGCACAGTCATGTTTCGATATAATTGGCAAAACTTAATTCAACTATAAAGTATCTTTCGATGATTTTATGACTCAACTAAGCTTTTTCTCTTTCAGGATTCCTCAGATGCAGACTTTACAGATTCATTTGCGTAGAACTTAGAATAGAAAAAAGATATATTCTTTATGGTTTAAGGAAAAGTTGACCAATAATAAATAGAGGATATTACATGGGCGCGCGGAGATACGAAATTTATCTTCAAGTGTTGAAAAGATCTCTCACGAGTGAGCGTAGAAAGAGTGAGAGATTTTCAACACGAGAAGGTAAATTTCGTATCTCCAAGCGCCCATGTAATATTCTGTTTATTATATATTTATCCATAAAATCAACTTAATAAGCTTTTTATTATTATGAAAAGTTTTTATTTTTCGAAAAGGAGAAATATAGGTATTTTATGGATAATTATATGATAAAGTGTATTATACAGCAACTTTTTAAGCTTATCCATCCCTTATGGATGATATTTTCGTTTATAGGTAAGAAAATTGGGCTGGCTATGGCTATATCCTAGCCTTGTGGGTAAAATAATGAATTATTATACTCGCAGGAAGAACAAATTATGAGAACTTTGTATTGTATCATTTTAAAAAACTTGGATGAAATCTCATCTGAAAATCTAAAAAGGAACATTTTATTTGAAAAAATGCCTTCAAAAATTATTAGATATTTCCATAAAACCAAAACTACAGGTTCAAAATGTTCAAATCATAGAAGATAAGATTGAGGGAATTTCTGGGTAATCAGTTTATGAGGCTAATAATATTGAAGCTTTGCAGCTATCAGACAAAGATTCAAGCTACCAAACAAAGCATTTTGTCACTCTCCACATGTGTCTATATGCAAACACTTTTCAAATGCCCAGGATACCAACTACCAAGAACACCCTTTGCCTTAGCTTCCATGATTGGACCTTTTCAACCAGACAATGATTTTTGAATTTCAGGTATACAGCTATTTCAAACATGTATTTGCCCACAAGCTGTTTATTTTCCCATAGTGCTAGTTAAAAAGTATGCACCAAAATATGTAATAATAAATTGGGTAATGTGTAGTTCCAGAAATTATCCATTCCCAACCCTACCCCCAGAGGAATTTGGAATTTCTGAAGGGTGGGTTCAGAGAAAAAACAAAATTACGGAGATTGTATGGAAGAAAATTAGAATTTCTGGGGTTGGGTGGGGGATCTTTAAAAAATTTTCTGTAGGGGGTATGGATAATTTCTAAAACTACACATTATTTTGATATAACTTCCAAAACTCAATACCCAAGTGTAGAAGTTTAAGGGGAAGGGGACAAAAACTCACCCTTTTCCCATTCGCCCATCTCTTTTGGGCCACTTTTTCGGTAAAGCTTATCTTGCAATTAAATATTTTCCTATAAAGGTTGTACAAAATTATTGGCATTATGAGTACTCCAAAGCTTTATGCATTCGTAGAAAAGATTTGAGGATTTGTGAACTATTTTTTATGATTTGCACATGATTTGAAATCGAAAAACGTTTAATATTTTGACTAGTTGATATTATACAAAATCAACCAAAGCCAATAACTTAAAACTCACTAGTTGGCATACATTTTGATATCTAGGTCTTGGCTTCATAGCGGTAGTAGCTTTGGAGCATTCATGTAAATGGACCATTGTCATCACCATGGCTACAGAGTCTATTTAAAATACAGACATTTTCAGGCCTCTTCTGAGTTAGATAAACAGGGAGCATTCTGGTCTAGCTTGAGTACAAACGACACCATATAAATAAATAAATGGGATAATAAATGGCAAAGAACAGTGTTCTAAAGAGTTAATTCTTTCACTGGATTCTAACTGGAATTTAGAAGATGATATTTGCATAGGGAGGAAAAACTGAATAATCCAGATAAAAACTAGACATAAGCCACGGGAGAGAACCAACAAGCAACTCTACTGACAACACCAATCAAACCTGGGCCACTTACACCCCTAAACCACCCATGCTTCCTTTATGAGGCATGAAGGACAAAATGGTGATCATAACCAGGTTAGACCAAAAGTAATGTACACTATTATGACCAGACATACATGAATGAATTCCAAATACCAACCACCAGTCCTGGTGACAGCTGGCCAGATGCACCATCACCACCTTATGGCCCGATCACATTTTATCAACAACCATATAACATTTATGTAACTTCATTAATGGTATAAATAAATAATTATGCTTGATAATGAAATCTAATCTGTAATATTGAGTTAAGGTCATCCTTATTAACCAGTCTGAGGCTGAGGAAAAATTGGGTTGAGTTAGCATTGCAGTGCATTGTGGGACTGTTTAAGGGGACAATATAAATGCAATCCTGGAAATGTCCCCTAAAAGAGCCCCACAATACACTGCAGTGTCAACTCAACCCAGTTTAGTTCCTCCACTCGGATTGGCTAATGACAATGGAACAAGAGAGCCTTAAAACCCCAGAGTAACCATAGTTTGAGGTCAATATTTTGTTGTTGTAAATTTTAAGACAAAGACATGATAACAGAAATAAAACAATGAAAGCTTAGTGGTATTCAATTACAATTATTAACAAATGTCGGGACCCTGTTTTAGGACTCCATTGTCTAACCACAATGTACAGCCAGGGACAGTGGGAGCTTTTTAAAGTGCAAATGAACCCTTTGACAATACATTCAGTACTGGTTCTGCATAAAGTAAATAGTTGATTGGTAAAATATTTCTTGATTTGAGTGATGCATCTCTAAGTTATGAAGGTGTATACTTCCAATATGTTAATGATGATGACGTCAGGTAAGGTATTTGAGTGTTTTTGTTGTAACTAGTAATACTAAATGCTGGCCATTTTGAAAATAAAAATTGTAAATAGCTTTCATGTAAACCATGAGTAAAATAATGCTTTTTACATACTGTTTCTATGAACCAGTTCGATTTTGTATATTTGATTAAGCCTTAATAGACGTCACACTCATTAGCATATTGGAAGTATAAACCTTCATAACTTAGAAACGCATCACTCAAATCAAGAAATATTTTACCATTCAACTATTTACTTCATGTAGAATCAGTACTGAAAGTATTGTCGAAGGGTTCATTTGCACTTTAAATCCCCACTTTCATAATTTTCAGAGGGCAGGCAGGGGGGTCCGGCAGGTGGAGGAATCCCCAAGACCTCCAGATTAGCCCACCCTCAGAACTATGCTTTGGCAATACTACTTTTTACAGTTGCGTTCAGTGACCATGAATAATAGTTCCAAGTTAAGGTGGGAGTTAATGATAAACTTTAGTTTTGCTATGTGCAGCAACTCCAATCTTGACTTGCAGCTTTTATTCAAGGCCACTGAATGCAACTGTAAACAGGAGTATTATTTAAAACAAGAAAGTGCAACATTCTTGTATGTTATGTTGTATGTACTATAAACAAGAGTCACTCAATGAACCACTCATGAGTATAACCAGTCACGTTAATATAAATATACTTAATGATACTAGTAACTGAATTTTGAACAATGTAGGGGAAAAACAGGCTAAACTACTACACTGATGTTTTGGACCTTGAGCCATATAAAAATACCTTTATCCTTTTCAACACCTTGGACAATTATTCACAGGTCTCTATCACTGCAAGCTCACCACAGCTCTCTCTTCAATGCACAGGCGTGGTTACCCTCAAAGATAGATGCTCTGGCCCATAGTACTTAATTCTCTTTTTTTTTTGAAGGGAGGTTAACTGGTCAAAAAACATCCTTCAATCAATGACAGTATACCGTGTGCTTTTACCTGTAAAATACTGGTCAGTTCATTAAGAATTATTTTTGTGCATTCAGGATATCAAAAGGCTTGGCTTGGAAAATGTGAGAATAATGTTTCAATATTTTCTCTGTTTCAATGTTCAAGGACATATTTTCAACATTGTCTGATCAGCCTTAAGCATAATAAAAGCAGTTTTTCTTCTGGTTATTCCCAAAGCTGCAAAGTATTGAGTATGCAAATGTAGAGTATGAAGATTTTGTTGCCAAAAATCCAAGATGGGTTTCCTGTCTACATACAAAAGACAATAATCCAGTTTTGAGTTTTCTTTTGCTCAGCCTTAGTCTGGGTTGTGCGGTAAAATATTCAACTATTCAACCAAAACTAATGGCATTTTTATCGACTCAAATTGTTCCGTAGTATGTACATTCCTTAGAATACAAACACTACAAGTGTGCAACATAAATACCACTGAATACTGCTAAATCATGATAATCCTATTGTTTTCTATTGTTTAATTAGCACTATTTACTACTAAATAGTGAAAAGTGTTGCACACTTTTAGTGTTTGTACTCTACTATACAATGAACCTTAATGTAAAAGTAAAGAACACAATCGAGGATAAGACTGAGCAAAAGTGAACTTGAAATGAAAGTATTGAGGTCCATCATTTAGCCAGTCCCTTTCTTACTAGACTAACAGTTTTCATTACTTTATCAATGAGGCTAATGCAACAAAAAAACCTGCCTCTAAAGTTTTTAATAATCTATGTTCAACAATACAAATTTATTTATATTTTTTTCTTACTGGAGCCAGGAATCACTTTGATCCCTTGAGCATCTGTACAACAGACACCTATAAACTGATACAAACAAGGAAAGCTTCAACTGTTCACACAAATGTTCGAAACCATTAACTTCTATTAATATTAGTGCATGCATTTAGCAAAGATAAATTCACTACCATGAAACAGTAATGGATTACCAGAACTAACTGCTGGCATAAGTTTAAAGACATATATCCAATCCAAATAAATGTAAATATTCCAGGGCTTTAAATAAGGGCTGTTCAACTGACAATTTCTGACCATTTGTCTGGTCAAACACCTCTTAGGCTGGTCCTCTTATTTTGAGCCCTGACCTTCTCGAACCTTCTCAGAAAGCCCAAAGTTAATAAATTGTTCAAATATTTGTTCAAATAAACAAAGAAAATCAATGTTTAAATGACTAAGGCATAAATTAATCTAGTATCACATAGGGTAGAATGTTTAAGGTGCCATCATTGCAGGGCATTACGTCTGTCCAAGAATACCATGTCCCATCATCATTATAACGACCATTAATACCATTTGCCTCTTTATTCATGTCTAACTCAAGTTCCTTTGGTTCTGACTCATCATCATCTAATTCTTCTGTTTCTTGGTTAGTCTCTGATACCATTTCTTTTGAATGGTTTTCAGTTTTACTTTTTGGAGATAGTTCATCAGATGTTTGATTCGCTTCTATATCTTCATGGGATTCTAGTAACATATCATGTTCAGTATCCAAGATTCTTTTTTCACTAACATTATGAATATCAGGATCTTTTTGAGAGTTTGTATCATTTGTTTTGCATTCAATATCCAGGCCATTTTTTCCTTGAACCCTGGTAACTTCCTCCTTTGTTCCAGTAAGTGTTATATTGGTATTTTCCCTTTGAGTAAGCGTACAATGGTTTTGACCACCAACTGGTCCAGTATTTACATCTCTCTTGCTGTCAGTTTCACAAGCATTGTCATTTACATTAGAAAAATTAGCCTTATCTGAATTTTGATCTAAATTATTTACATTACATTTGATCTCAGATGAGGGAGCACTGGTTCGATCTTCTTTATTTTCAGAATTTTCAATAATATTTATTTCATCTTGAGCTTCAGATGTGACAATATCTTTTTCAAGACTATCGTTATCTGAATTCCCAGAATTAGTAAGGTGCTTAGTAGATGACTCTGATGTATGCGCTATGGATGTACCATCTTTTTCATCTAATAATTTAGTTTGATCCTCCATGAGCTTAGGTTTTTTGTGCACCACAGATGATGAAGATATTTCTTTTGACTGTATAAATTCATTTTTGCTTGATGATCCATTAGTGGGGACGAGAGATTTAGAATCGCTGGATACATTAGGTGGGTGAAGTGATCTGGGACTATCCTGTGTTGAAGTGTCGATTAATGTCAAAGGCGAGTCTCCAGAGCTCGAGCCACTGCGTTTCCTTTTCACTCCCTTAGTCTTATAGTCATTAATAGATATAGACTTGACCTTCCTATCTGTTAAGGTCGGTGTCAAGGACTTGTCAGTTTCACTAAGGGTACCATTTATTTGTGGAGAAGAGATGCGACTGCCATTTATAGGAGAATCAACATTACAGTTCGCTCCTATTTGGTTGATAACTAGTTTTTGCCACTTCTTAACAAGCTTTTTTGCTCGTTTAGCAAGGACCTCATTGTTTGTCTTTTTACGCAGCAAGTTTATAGTTTTTCCTATCCTTGTTGCCTGAAAAGCATGAAAAAATACAAAAAATGTGAAAAATAGAAAGAATGATTTTTATTCTACAACTATTCCTTTTGCCTGATAACCAAGAAAAATACAAAAAATGTGAAAAAGAGATGTGTGATTTTATATAATTATAGTGGCTCTTTTAGTACCCATTTATATTATTACAAGGGCCATACACCTAGCTATAATTCAAGATATCTGAAATATTTTGGATTTTGACATCAAATTTTAAATGGACTGAGTGATTTAGGATATTTTGATTTGTGAAAGCCAAAAACACATCCAACCAACCCACTCTTGACCACAGATCCCTATCATTGGTAATGCAAATACTTGACAAAATACTAGACTCTGGGAAATCCTAGGATTTTAAAAGCTGTGATTAGTTGGAATATTTTTTGCAATAATTGAGTTATCTAAACAGCGCCAACAACCAAAAGCACCCTTGCAAAAAGGTAGGATTATGTTTGCCTTGAGAACTGACAAAATGGCAGTACAACTGTAAAGTACTAAAAGATGGTATTTTTTGGGAGCAAAATAAACGATGACACATCATAGTGGATATTAGGCTAGAAATAGAAAAATATTACGAACTCGTAGCTTTCGTAAAGTTATTTCTAGCTAAAGCCAAACATAAATTTCTTCAGGCAGTTATACAGTTATACTTTTTTTAATATTGGCATGCGTATATTCAAGTGTGATATTCTACTAACAATATCCAAACATTCCAATATTATCAAAGCACTTATATTATACCATGTCTTTACAGACGACCTCCTTACAGACAGCTAATATATCCAGTCACACCAACAGTCACATGTCTTTACATACAATAGATGTTACATAATATAGAAAACTACACACAACTGACATTAATGTAAAACAATGTTCAAGAAGATGAGCTGAGGTTTTGTACAAGCAAATGTGAAAACTATTTTAAGCAGTTTGAAATGAGTTTCTTTAAAATGCCTATCAAAACTAAGCTGCAGGGCTTAAAATAACAGCTGGACAATGGACAATGTCTACCCAGAATTGGAACTTGTCCAGTCAAATCTTTACCTTGCTGGTCATTTTGACCAGTGACACCAAGTCATAAACAATGAATGACCAAGTTAAAACTAATAATTTTACTGGTCATCATGTCCGGCGACTTACATCAACCGTTTTGGAAAGCCCTGAGTTGGAGGGTTCTTAGTTTGCCTTCTGCTAATGAATACAGCAAAAATATCAACTAACTCCATTACAAATTAAAGATACTGTAAATATTCTGAATACATTTATTCAAAGTCACCAAATTTCAATGGTTATATCTGAAATTCTGTTTTGGCTTAGTTTTTAACCAGGGATAAATGATATAGTACAGTATAAGATAAATTTCAATGCTCTTTTATTTTCCTCAAAATATATTTTTTATTTTATTTATGATTTTCCTGAAAAAAGATGGGAATACATATAGGACACTTGGTCCCCTACGAGGTATCAACACCAAAAATAACTTCCAACTTTTGACCCCATTTTAATGAAGTAAGTAAATCAAAATAATTTTTGTTGACAGATCTATACAAATGTACTGCTAGTGGAACATTATCTAGATGTATTCAGCCATAGTGTACATGTTAACGTATAGCCAAGACTTGTCCTTAAACACACGACAACAACAAAAATACTAACTTCCAACTTTTGACCCTATTTTAATGAAGTAAGTAAATCAAAATAATTTTTGTTGACAGATCTATACAAATGTACTGCTAGTGGAACATTATCTAGATGTATTCAGCCGTAGTGTACATGTTAACATATAGTCAAGACTTGTCCTTACTCACAAGACAGAGTTATCACAATTATTCAATCAAATCAATTCATGCTTTTGGAAAGATCAAACCTCAAAAAGCCAAGAACATAAATTTGAAAATTAACTATAAAGTTTTGACGTCAATATTTTTATAAGATAAAAATTTAAGTTTCCAAATCTCTCGATACTGATTTATAAGCATTACATATGCCTGTTTAAATTTTCCTTGTAATATTATTTGTTGAATGAAGCTTAATTACATAAAACCCTGAGTTACCATGAACACAAAGCCCTTATGACATAAACATCTATACTTTAGACAGGTAAATAGACCTGTCTACAGTATAGACACTATTGTTTATGAGACGCGTTTTTGACCAGTAGGTGTACCATAAGCAACATCTAATTCTTTTAAAACATAAAAATAACTAATTCACTTACAATCTAAAGGTGGAGCTTGTGTAGATGAATTCCTATTAACACAATACGAATGCGGAAGACCAAAAAAGAAAGAAAGAAAAAAACTTATAGGAATTTAATTTGAAAAAAAAAAAAAAAAAAAAAAAACGGTACCGTGGTAGTTCCAAAATGTGGTTCTAAAAACCGTGTTCGATGTATTTCCATCAGCTCTAAAAAATATAGTCTTTAGAGTCATTTATACAGCTATGTATACAAATGTAACCTTTATAAATTTTGCTAAACTTTCAATTGAATCAAAGCCTTTTTGGGTTAAAATAACTCAAATCCTCTACCTGTATGTTATACCACGTAATAAATTATTTTCTTACAGCTTATTACTACTTATAATGTTTCTTTAATAGTCTTACATACAAAGTATTCGGACAATATATGATACATATACTAAATGAAACTTTCCTTTTAGGGATTTATAAAAAAACTAAAATTATTATCAAGCTAGGAATTTCGTGATTCAATGTTTAGCTTTGTAAGAGGTTTTTCGTTCTTGTACTTTAATATAAAGAAAGACAGGAAAACATTACAAAACGAAATCGATAGACGAGAGTATCGCTTTGTTCTATGTGTACATACTGTAGATATGTCCATGTAGAGGACGTATAGTCATACTGTGTTCTATGGATTATCTGGATTGGAAAACCAAAAACGTAGGAATAAAATAGTATGTTCGTATGCCATTATTATTAAAGAATCTGTTGAATCCAATGTTAGGGTTGGAGAAAAAGAGCGTTTTACAATATTCAAACAAAAAAACAAAAAATCTGTATGGCCTCTAGCTTAGGTGGCATTTTTAGCTTGTACATGCAGTACTAGTACCAAGGACTTTGTTGAGGAAAAACACATTTTGAAATAAAAAATTAAAGTCCAAAGCGAATATACTTATAAAATTTCCAGGCTAGACGTTTTTAAGCAAGACTAGAATGAATAAAGGCTTTTTTAGCTCTCTCAGACGAAATACAATACAATTTAAACCAACGTTTTCAGTCTTCCAAGATTTCTCTTTGATATTCATCCTAGACTTTTAGTTGATGAGAACTATTTCCTTCGCGTAGAACTCAGAATCTAGATCACATATAACGAGAAAAGTAAAGCAGTACAAAGTATAGTACCTCTAAGGCCTCCCTAGTGATGGGCAGTCGCTCTAAAGTCGATACGAGCTCCAATACGGCGGCCATATCCAAAACCTTGAAAAACACAAACGACCAAAATCAAACACTCGAACAAAAATGCGAACCGTGTGTACACAACAAAACAAAACGGCCTGAAAATGTACCCACATTTCCCTCAGGGTCCACTGCACGGTCTAGCCTGGATTTGATCTCTTGTGGCGAGTGCTGCATGGAGTATTAGTGGTTTAGTTTCCCTGTTTCGGAAAACGCCATGCGACTCAGTGTTGGACATGACGGCTCTCGCTCCAACCGAACCTATTATATTATGGGCTACTTGACGTCATACCGCCTCGATATTTATATCAACACGTACAAAGTATCGCGGGCTCACCCCGATTGAACAGCATTGTGGGTAAAATCTGCACAAGAATTCTGGGAAATCACTAAGAGTTCTGGGAAGTTTTGATTTTCTGGTTACTTTTGATTCTTGGAAGAGTACACTCCCAGTTATCTTCGGGGGGTTTTTGGACTTAGTAATTTCTTCTTTTTACTTCGACGAAACCACTACGTCCGAAACTTCAGCAGTTCGAATATTTTGTTTATATAATAGTCAACCGACTCAAGTCCCAACTAGTCACGCATGATAGGCATTACTCGGTAACTTCTTGTTTTTACAGTTAACCAACACATTTTAAATCAAAATTAACAAATCTCATTTTTGACGCCGCCGAAGACTTTGAAGACTTTGGAGTGTAAAGTGTTTCCTGTTCACTTTTCACTGAACATACAAATAAGCAAGCTGAAGGAACTAAAACAAGGGCGGATCCAGCCAAGATTTTAGGGGGGCGGGGGCTAATGGAGCTTGGGGG